ACGCAGCTGTGCGGGTGGTGCCGGCGACGCCCCCAGCCTCCCTCCCGGCCCATCCTCCTGGAGGATGCAGGTGCAGGAGGGCGCGGTCGCCAGCCTCAGGCCTGAGGACACAGGAGCCCAGCCTGGAGCTCGTTCAAGGCGCAGGTTCCGGGCCCAATAGGTTGTTGCAAGCCCCACCCCACCCGCAGCCTGGTAGGGAGCTGGGCAGAGCAAACAGGAGGGGTTCCTAGTCGGCCCAGGGCTGGTCAGCTGATTGACAGAGCTGTGGACACCTGGTGCTGTTCCCCCCACACTGCTCTCCAGGCCGGGCTGGCCAACCACAGCACGTGTTTACTGCGACTCCCCCGCCACCTTGTGTGCAAAAAAAATCAAGAGTCTGGCCATGTTTCCAACACAGTCGTTTCATTAGCAGTTGTCTGGGGTTAGAGATAAAGGCACGAAGATCTTTGTGGTGACGGGACCATCCAGCTTCCAGAACAGAGTGGACAGAGGGAGGCACATCGGTGAGAAGTGCACGTGTCCTGGGGTGGTGGCGTCCTGGAACCCCTGAAGCTACCAGTGTTACGGGAAACTCCGTGAGGGGTACCTGGGACCTCTGTGCTCTTCGAAACTTTATATGAAAATAGAATTACCTGAAAATGTGTGTGTTTTAAGGGAGCTGTTTCCATAGTTTGCCCAGAAAACGCTACTCATCAAAGGGATGGTGCCGTGTTCCGGGTTCCAGTTCCGGTCGTGAGCAGCTCTGGGCAGGACCCCGGCCCCGGGCCCCCGCCTGGTGGGCCCCTGGGCCCTAGGCCCCCGCTTGCCTGTGGAACCGCTGAGACAAGGGTCCTAAGGCACATGGTTTGGTTTTGAGGTTTGCAAGAGCCTGGGAGACCTGGGCACCGCCCTGACTCCGCCGTGGGGCCCAGGTGCAGGCGCACATGAAGCCGCCGTCCACGCCAAGCCCCTGGAGAAGTCAGCGGCACCTGACCCCCCGTCCTACAGCACCCTCGCCCTGGGGGACCCGGGGTTCCCTGCAGGCCTGTAAGGGGCTGTGGAGGGAGGGCAGGGGACCCGGCTTAGCTGCGGCTGCACTGCGAGCTGCTCTTCACGTGGGTGGGGAGGTAGATGCCCCTGTGCTGTGTCCAGAGGGGAAGGAGGCGCTGGGGCCCAGAGCAGCAAAGCCAGGACCAGCTGGCTTCCCCCGGCCTCAGCCAGGCTGTGGGGGTTCGGGGAGGGTGCTGTGGCCCCAAGTACGGAGGCTGCGCCTGTGCCCCTCTATCGAGCAGGGGAGGAGTGTGTGAGCACCAAGATCAGAAGCCGCTGGCAGACTGGGTAAGGGATGGTGCCCCCCATCTGGTTAAATTCCAGATTAATGACCACAAAGGAGGCCGGGGCGCTGGTCCCACAGGTTCTTGGGGGCAGCACCTAACCCTCAGCAGCTCAAACCAGAGGGCGGAGGCCTCGGAGGGAATGGAGAGAATTTGGTCCCCGGTGCCGCCAGCCCTTCACGGTGAGGAGTCAGGCCTCTCTGCTGTCGGCCTCGGCTGGCAGGCCGGGCTGTGCGCCCCCAGCCGCACCGTTACTGGTTCAGCTGCCAGGAATTGGGGAGCCCCCCTAAAGAAGGCACCCATGAGGGGGGCAGCGACCCTCCTCTCGTTGGGTCTGCTCATCTGTAGAAAAGCCAGGTGTGGCTGGGGCTCCCCAGAGGCCACTGCCCGTCTCCGCTCCCAGGCAGGGCCTGCTGCTGTCACTCAATGAGGCCACACCTCCCTCAGCCCCACAGTCCAAGGTCCAGAGTCCCTCTGCCTCCCGCCTGGACCCCACACCCAGGACTGGAGCCCACAGAAGGCCTGTGGTCACTTGTGTCTATGGCAACCGGTGAGGGGACAGGTCCCACCCTCGCGGAGTAAGCCAGGGTCATTCCTTCTGTGTCCCATGGTCGGGAAGGGCGCAGCCGCCCGCGCTCCGACCCAG